AAAAAAAAAAAAAAAAAAAAAAAAAGAAAGAAAGAAAGAAAAAGAAAAAGAAAGATAATAAAAGGAAGAACTACAAGTGTGGGCAGTATGTCCCTGCTCAACCTGGAGTGGCTGGCTCACTCCATTAGGAGGGTTTTTCAAGTTGGTCCTTCCTCTAGGCAAGCTGCACGGTGCAGAATCTGACCGATCCCTTCAGGCCCCCTGTACATCCAGAGGAGCTTCAGCACACAAACAGACTGGTACAAGTAATAGGGGGTGTCTGGAATGGGAATGCAAGTAGAGTTGGGTACCCTGGGATAGGACAGTGGGAGCTGGAGGGAGTAAGAGGGGGATCCTACCATCCCAGGTTCCTGATCTGTCTATCTCTTCTGGTAGAATGGAAGCAATACTCGGTGTCAGGTGGTGACCTGCCACCTTGGGCAGCTGGCCAAGGGGACTGAGGCTTCTGTTGGACTACTGCGGCTAGTTCACAATGAATTTTTCCGAAAGGTAAATCTTTCTTTTTCTACTATCCTCCCCTTCAGTTCCTATCTGGGATTGTAGCATAGGATTTGCAGGTAGACAGAGCCATATTCAAGTTTTGCTTTTGTGTCTTATTATCTTTAATGGTGAGCAAGTTACTTCATCACTCTAAGCTTCTTTTTCCTGATCTCTAAAATAATGGCGATATATTCTGGGTGGTGGAAGATCTGCTGAAGTGGGTGGATCACTTGAGCTTAGGAGTTCAAGACCAGCCTAAGCAAGAGTGAGACACCATCTCTAAAACATAGCTGGTGTGGTGGTGGATGCTTGTAGTCCCAGCTAACTTGGGAGGCTGAGGTACAAGGATTGCTTGAGTCCAAGAGTTTGAGATTGCTGTGAGCTATGATACTACAGCACTCTACTGAGATCAACAAAGTAAGACCCTGTCTTAAAGAAAAATAAGTAAATAAATGAGGACAATAATACCTATTTTATGGGGTTGTTGGAAAGAATAAATGAATAATGAGCTAATATATGGTCAATACTCAATAAAATCTAGTTATTGTCCTTGTATTTTCTTCCATTTATCATTCCTTGGTGCTATATCAATGACTAATCATCATTTACAGGATTCCTCAGTTTAATCAGCTAATAATCCATTGACTGGTCTATAAAAGGCCATATATTAAGTTAGTACCAAGGGGAATATCCCCAACATTTAGCCCCATGCCTAAGTCATTGTAAGTGCTTAGTGCATTTTGGTTAAATGAATAATTGATATTATATGCAGGATTTGTATTAGAAAGTAATGGGAAGTAAGAGTATGTTGGGAGGGATCTAGATTATGAAAGATCTCTGAAGCTAGGGAAATAAAATTGAACTTAATAGACAGGGAGCCAGGATCAGTGTGAGTTCCTGAGCAGAGAAATTACATCTTAATCATAAGGGTAGGGGGGAAGTGGCAGCTCATGCCTGTAATCCTAGCACTCTGGGAAGCTGAGCTGGGTGAATTACTTGAGTTCAGGAGGTTGAAACCAGCCTGAGCAAGAGAAAAACCCATGTCTTTATTAAAAAATAGAAAAACTAGCCAGGAGTTGTGAAGGTACCTGTAGTCCCAGTTACTTGGGAGGCTGAGACAAGAGCACAGCTTGAGCCCAAGAGACTAAGGTTGCTGAGAGCTATGATGACTCCATGGCACTCTATCCAGGATGACAGAGTGAGACTGTCTTAAAACAAACAAACAAAAAATTACAAGGGCTAATTAGGACTAGGGGTTGATACTGTGCTTCCCCAGGTATCATCTACTTTCAATAACACAAGATCCCTGGAATGTAGGCATTTGTTTTTGGAAAGATAAATCTGACAAACCACCTTTCTCCAAGTCTGGTTCTCTTTATCCTTCTTGGGTATCTTTCTTTCATTCATTTATTCATTCTTTCAACAGAGATTTATTGAGAAACCACCATATACTTGGTACTGTGTTAGGCATTAGGCACTAGGGTTCAGAAGACACAGCCCTTAACCTCGAGGATCTTATAGTTCAGTGGTAAAAGAGAAGTAAACACCAGGATTGGTGGGGGTTAGGAGGAAACAATGCCCTAATTCCCAGTGGGGATGACATCTAAACTTTAACCTAAGGGAAGAGAAGAGGCTAAGGAAAGGGGAGTAGAATGCACTTCAGGTACAGCAAACAACATATATAAAGGACAAGAAGCTTTCTAGCTATTATCTTTTGTCTCATTTCCCATTGGTCATCAACATTTTCTTCTGGTCTTAATTGCCTGGGAAGTTGTGCCTTTCAGCTTTAACTTGGTTCTTGGGGTTCCAAAGACCCTCACTACCTGATGAAGGCTCACTTTAAATTTCTTCCTCTTCACTTGTTCAACAGGCCAAGTTCAAGTCTCTGACAGTGGTCAGCACCTTTGAGTTGGGAACCGAGGAGGGCAGTGTTCTACAGCTGACTGAAGCCTCCCGTTGGAGTGAGGTGGGGATGGAGACTGCGTTTGAAAGCTGTGAAAATAACGATGATGGGAATGGGTGATGGGGGATCTTTCAGAATAAAGGCATCTCCATTAAGCCGTAGTCAGTGAGTCAGAAGTGAAAATCAGGATGTTAGAGTCCTACTGCCTCCATTCCTGGCTCAGTTTCTTTCCTTTGTGTAGAAAGACTTTATTTATTCTATTTGGGGGCCATCTTTGCTAGAATGTTGGGCAAGGCTATCTGGGATAAAGGGTATAGCAAAAAACAAAACAAAACAAAACAAAACAAACAAACAAAAAACCAAAAAACCCTCTTTTCCTCATATAGAGTCTCCTGGAGGTGATTCAGACTCACCCTATCCTTATCTCCCTTTGGATCCTCATTGGCAGTGTCCTGGGAGGGCTCCTCCTGCTTGCTCTCCTGGTCTTCTGCCTGTGGAAGGTAAGCCCTGCTTTAGTTGGGAATGTGGAGCATGGTACCCACAAGTTGAAGGATGATAGTAGGGAGAATGGGATTTGTGCAGGCTATGTGTGTCATGTCTGTATCTTCTTCACTATAATCCAGATGTTGGTGAAATTAAAGTAAGCCAAATAAAATAATAAATGTGAATCTCATTTTTGGAAGCAGAACAAAAGTAAAGACCTCAGATAAGTTTGAGGGCTATTGGCAAGGTCCCCATTCAAGGCATTTGGCAATGATTCTTATTTCTTCCTCTACAGCTTGGCTTCTTTGCCCGTAAGAAAATCCCTGAGGAAGAAAAACAAGAACAGAAGTTGGAGCAATGAATATAGAATAAGGCTCTAGAAAGGCCTCCCTGGCAGCTTCTTCAAGAGACTTGCATATGAGCAGAGATTTGGGGGCTCATATGGGACAAGAATAAGCCTCTGGACTATCTCTCCAGACCAGCAGCCTGACAACTTTTGAGTCACAAGGATGCTGCTGGCAAGAGATGAGGCTTTACCTCAGACAAGAAGGGTTGGCATCAAAACCAGCAACACTCCCATCCTGTGGTCCCCTCCTCCTCAGGATCCTGGTTCCATAGCCAACTTTGTGATCTTTGTTTGGGCCCATTTTTCCTCATCCCCAGGAATTTAGGTGTTGGTTTTTTTTTTTTTTTTTTGTCTACATCTCTGATTTCTTTCAGATTCTCTCTTTGTCCTCCCTCACAATTTGGAATTATCTTCCTCCATTCTCCCACCCGTTCACCTTCCTGCCTGCTCCCACACCACAGGAGGGAGCCGAGGTTGGCTTGAGAGAAAGAAGTAAAGTCAACATCTGCTGCTTTCCTGTGGAGTCTGGTGATTCATAGAGCCGGATGGAGAGAGTCAACAGGAAAAAAGGAGGGAGGAGGAAAAGCCACAAGAGACATTTTGTACAATTCCAAGGAACAGAGAACCCTTTAGACAGGCAACTGCCATCCCCCCTGAAACCTGAGACTGTGGTGCACTCGGCCGCCCTCAGGTGCTGGTAAAATGGAGCTGCCCCCAGGCTTGCTGGCCATGGGCTGGCCTGCTTAGTTACAACCGTCCCTGGGAGAAAAGCCAGGCCTGGTGCCTGATTTTCTGGAGCCAGGGGCCCCCAGGTGGCCAGAACTGGAATAGCAGAGAAGACTGGGTTCTCTGGACGATGTTTTCTCTGCTTCTCTCAGGTCTATTTCCTCTTGAGCCTTCCTTGGGGCTCCTTATAGAAAGCAGAAGGAAGAGGGTTGCTGCCTGCTGGTAGGAACTCCTTTCACCTTACAAGCTTTGGGAAGCAGCAGCCCCATGGGATCTGACCAAGTGGGGGTCTGCATTAACACACCAAAGCCGTGGGTATGAGGTACAGCACAAATAGCTCCTAGGAAAATGTTTCTGGGGCAACCCTAGTCATATTTTGTTTTCTCCGGTGAAATCAGTTTGCCAGTCCTTTCTTGATGTTAACTGGAAATTCCCAAGTTAATTTCCACCTCTGACCCCCACCATTCCGTGCTTTCATATTTTGGTCCTTGCCAGTAAAGGTAATTGGATTCTCATAAACAACTGGGTAACTGATACTTTTATGTAATACAGATTTTTGGATACTGAAGTCAGTTATTGGTCTCCAGAGTGCAACTCTGATAGCCATTTGAAGAATCAACACCCATTCTTATCTGAGAAGAGAGAAGACATGATTGGATAGTTGACCAGCAACCACAGAACCTGTCCTTCCAGGCTGCTCCTGAGGCCTGACCACAATGTTTATTTTGGCATGTCTCTGCAGAGGTCTACCATCATGAGCATTGTCTCTAGCGGGGTGAACAGTATATCAGATGGTTAAAACAAATAAAGTTCAGCGTTAAATGACTTCTGGCTCTATTAGTTTCTAAGGATATAGGCTGCTTATTAATGGCAAGAGGTGGATTCTTGCTTGGCCTGAGAACTTACAGAGTGGATTCTCTGAAAGGCAAAGTTATGAAGTGTTTCAAGTGTTTTCTGTGGCTTTCCCACTGGTGATGTGCTCCAGCCTCCTGCAATTCTTACCTATTTAATTAACTATAGAGCCTAAAGTGTGTAGGTTTGAGGAGCACATAGGCCTGGATTGAAATCCCAGGTCTTCCATTTATTAGCTATGTGACCTTGAGCAGTAAGTCATAACTTTCCTGTGGCTCAGATAACACTAAGAGGCTATGTAGTCGAGTGGTTAACAACGAAGACAAAAATCAATAAACTTCTCTTCCCTTCTCCTAACTACAAAAAAAGTGAAGACAGACTTGTGTTTAAATTCAGGCTATGCCATTTATTTATTTTTACTTTTTTTGAGACAGAGTCTCAAGCTGTCACCCTGGGTAGAATGCTGTGGTGTCACAGCAACCTCAAACTCTTGGGCTTAAGCGATTCTTTTGCCTTAGTCTCCCAAGCAGCTGGGACTATAGGCACCGGCCACAATGCCTGGCTATTTTTTGTTGTTGTTGCAATCGTCATTGTTGTTTTAGCTGGCCCAGGCTGGATTCGAACACACCAGCTTCAGTGTATGTGGCCAGCGCCCTACCCACTGAACTACGGGTGCTGCTGGGCTAAACCATTTAAAGTTTGTTTGACCTGGGACAGATTTGACTGCTCTAAGTTGTAGCTTTCTTATCTTAAAACCTATGAGAGTCATGTGGACTAAATGAGATAATCCATAATAACTGCTCAATAAATGATAACTACAAGTATACAAATATTTTGTCATAAAATAGTCCATCCTCCCTGTGTTGTGAGGATTAAGTGAGAAGGTATACTGAAGCACCAGCTGGTGTTCTTGTTCTCATGACCCATCCCCCAGACCCTGAAAATTTGCTTCTATGTGCTAATGTCTCCTTCCACTAAATCTTATCCTATGCTTTGTCCTATTTGAAGTTACTGAGCTTTTAAGGTTATAATTACTTGATTAATTTAAGGTTCTAATGGTGGAAATAAAATCTATCTGATTTCTTTATTTTCTTTCATTTTGTTTTATTCCACAGTAAGACATGCATTTTTTAATTAAATCATAACTGTGTACATTAATGCATTTGTAGGGTACAATGTGCTGATTTGATATATAATTTGGAATGCTTACATCACTGGTTAACATAACCTTCAACTTGCTTACTTATTTGTTAAGACATTTATACTCTATGCTTAGTAGTTTTGACATGTACCCTTGCATTGTGCACATTAGGTGAGGTCCCACTAAATACCTTCCCTCCTCCTGACCTCCTCTTTCCTATCCCCTCTTTCTCCTCTTCTCTCCTTTCTGGACTACAGTTGTGTTTTATCATTGTATGAAAGTGTAGGTGATCATATGTTGGTTTCATAATAGTATTGAGTACATTGGATACTTTTTCTTCCATTATTGAGATACTTTACTAAGAAGAATATGTTCCAGCTCCATCCAGGTAAACATAAAACTGTAAATTCTCCATAATTTTTATGGTTGCAATAGTATTCCATGTTAAACATATACCACAATTTGTTAATCCATTCATAGGTTGTTGGGTATTTGGCCTGCTTCCATGACTTGGAAATTATGAATTGAGCTGCAATAAACATTCTGGTGCACATGTCTTTGTTGTAAAATGATTTTTGATCATCTGGGTATATACCTAGTAGAGGAATTGCAGGATTGAATGGCAGGTCTACTTTTAGTTCCTTGAATATTCTCCAAACTTCTTTCCAAAAAGGACATATTAGCTTGCATTCCCACCAGCAGTGCAAAAGTGTTCCTTCTCTCCACATTCACACCAACATCTGTGGTTTTGGGATTTTGTGGGCTAAACTTACTGGAGTTAGATAGTATCTTCAAGTGGTTTTGATTTGCATTTCTCTGATGATTAAAGATGATGAACATTTTTTCATGTGTTTGTAGGCCATGCACCTGTCTTCAGGGAAGCTTCTGTTCAAGTTTGTTGCCCACAAAGAAATGAGGTTATTTGTTCTTTTCTTATTGATTAGTTTGAGTTCTCTTTGGATTCTAGTTATCAGATCTTTGTCAGAAACATAACCTGCAAATATCTTCTCCCATTCTGAGGGCTGTCTGCTTGCTTTACTTACTGTGTCCTTGGGTGTGCAGAAGCTTTTTAGTTTGATCAGATCCCAGTAATATATTTTTGGTGTTGCTTCAATTGCCTGGGGGGATCCTCCGCATAAAATATTCTCCCAGGCCAGTTTCTTCAAGCAGTTTCCCTGCACTGTTTCCTAGTATTTGTATAGTTTCATGTCTTAATTTTAAATCTTTTATCCAGTGAGAATCAACTTTTGTTGTAAATCTTTTTTTTTTTTTTAGAAACAGAATCTCACTTTCGCAGCTCACAACCTCCAGCTCTTGGGCTTGGGTGATTCTCTTGACTCAGCCTCCCAAGTAGCTGGGACTACAGGCGCCTGCCACAATGCCTGGCTATTTTTTGTTGCAGTTTGAACCTGCCACCCTTGGTATATGGGGCTGGTGCCCTACTCACTAAGCCACAGGCGCTGCCCTAATTTTTGTTAGTGGTGAAAGGTAAGGGTCCAGTTTCAGTCTTCTATAGGTTGCCAGTCAGTTTACCTAGCACCATTTGTTAAATAAGAAATCTTTCCCCCAATGAATACTTTTGATAGGCTAATCATATCAAAGACCAAATGATGATAAGTGGCTGGGTTCATCTCTTGGTTCTCTATTCTGTTCCTTATATCTACCTTTCTATTTTTGTGCCAGTACCATGCTGTTTTGATCACTATTGATTTGTAGTATAGCCTGAAGTCTGGTAATGTGATACCTTCTGATTTGTTTTTATTTATGTATTGGCTATTTGAGGTTTTTTATGAGTCCATATAAAACGAAGTAGTATTTTTTCAAAATCTTTAAAGTATGACAATGATGCTTTACTAGGGATTGCATTAAATCTGTAGATTGCTTTGGGTACTATGGACATTTTAACAATGTTGATTCTTCCCAGCCATGAGCATGGCATGTTTTTCCATTTGTTAACATCTTCAGCTATTTCTTTTCTCAGAGTTTCGTAATTCTCTTTATAAGATCTTTCACATTCTTTGTCAGGTAAATTCCCAGATATTTCATCTTCTTTGGCATTAGTATAAAAGGAATAGAGTCCTTGACTATATTTTCAGCTTGACTATTGTTGGCATATATAAAAGCTACTGATTTGTAAGTATTACTTTTGTAACCTGAGATGCTGCTGTACTGATCACTTCTAAGAGTTTTGTAGTTGAGTCCCTGGTTTTCCAGGTAGGAGGTCATATTATCCACAAAGAGTGGAGTTTGATCTCCTCTGACCTCATTTGGATACCCTTGATTGCCTTCTCTTGCCTGATTGCAATGGCTAAGACTTCCATTACTATGTTGAATAGCAGTGGAGATAATGGACATCCTTGCCTAGTTCCAGATCTGAGTGGAAATGTTTTCAATTTTACTCCCTTCAATATGATATTGGCTGTGGGTTTGCTGTATGTGGCCTCTATCAGTTTAAGAAATTACCCATCCAAGTCTATTTTCTTAAGTGTTCTGGACATGAAAGGATGCTGGATATTATTAAAAGCTTTTTCTGCATCAATTTAGAAAGTCATATGGTCTGTGTTTTTATTTTATTTATGTTATGTATTACATTTATAGATTTACATATGTTGAAGCAACCTTACAACCATGGAATAAAGCCAACTTGAACATGGTGTATAATTTTTTTGATGTGTTGTTGAATTCTGTTTGCTAGAATCTTTTTTTTTTTTTTTGCAGTTTTGCCAGGGCTGGGCTTGAACCTGCTACCCTCGGCGTATGGGGCTGGTGCCCTGCTCCCTGAGCCACAGGTGCCACCATTTGCTAGGGTCTTATTGAATATTTATGCATTGATATTCATTAATGATATTAGTCTATAGCTTTCTTTCTTTGTTGGATCCTTTCCTGGTTTGGGGATCAGGGTGATATATGCTTCATAGAATGTATTGGGAAATATTTCTTTTTTTTCTATGTTTTGGAAAAGGTTATGTAATATAGGTACTAGTTCTTCTTTAAAGATTTGGTAGAATTCTGATGTGAAGCCATCTGGTCCTAGACTTTTCTTTTTTTGGTAGATTTCATATAGTTGATGCTATTTCAATGCTTGATATAGGTCTAGTCAAAATTTCTAATTCTTTCTGGCTGAGTCTAGGAAGGTGGTGTGCTTCCAAGGATTGGTCCATTTCCTCCAGATTTTCATATTTCTGAGAATAGAGATTTTTATAGTAATCATTGAGGATTTTTTAAATTTTTGAGGTGTCTGTTGTTATTTCTCCTTTATTGTTTCTGATGGATGATATTAGAGATTTTACTTTTCTGTCTCTGATTAGGTTAGCCAAAGGTTTATCAATTTTGTTATCTTTTCAAAAAGCCAACTTTTTGATTCATTGATCTTCTGAATGATTCTTTTATTTTCAATTTCATTTAATTCTGCTCTAATTTTGGTTATTTCTTTTCCTCTGCTGGATTTGGGGTTGGAATGATCTTCCTTTTCCAGTTGCTTGAGATGATGACCCATTAAATTGTTGACGTCCTCTCTTTCTGTTTTCTTGACGAAGGCTTCCAATTTCCCTCTTAGGATCGCCTTTGCAGTATTCCACAGGTTTTGATAATTTGTGTCTTCAATATAATTTCCTTCTTAATCTCATCTTTGACCCAGCTATAATTCAGCATAAGGTTTTTTAGTTTCCATGACTTTGAGTATGAAGATTCCTGTTGCTGTTGAGTTCAACTTTTATTCTGTGATGGCCCAAGAAGATACAAGGAATAATTTCTATACTTTTAAATTTTCTGAGGTTAGACTTGTGTCCTGAGATATGATCAATTTTGTAGGATGATCCAAGGGCTGATGAGA